CAACACCTCTTTGGCCTTGTCCCGTAACGACTGAGGAATTGGTGTACTAGCACAAGCAAGCTTCTGCAAAAACAGTAAACTCTTATTTCAGTTTCAACAATCTATTGCAGAGTCATCACTCTGGCTATATGGATGTGCCGTATTTTCAATCGGACGGAACTTATGGCGATTGCCGGTGGAATGTAATGTGAACTTAACGGCCAGATCAACTTGTGACCAATCTGTAAATATATTCGCTTCAACAGACTCACCCTGATTTCGCTTACTGATTGCCCGGAGTGATCACTCGCTTTTCTTGTACACCTTAAAAGCTCGTCGTTTTCGAGTTGTCGGATTTCCTGCAGCAAGACATAATAAAGGCGATTAACAATCCTTTTGGATAAAATCATAGGTCTTTCAACGATTCCGAATCTTTATAATTTCCTTTCGGACAAAATTTCTTATTCTATTTTCCTCTGAAAGTGAAGCCCTTGTTCACGCTGAAACCGTTCTTTTANCATTCCTCTCAAGATCACACAGTAACGCTGCACCAACACCCCCGATACACTGCTCGTAGTCGCTTCGAACAGCCATTAAGCACACTTGATATCGAAGGCATTCTGTCTGCAATATGTGAAAAACTACATCACTCTGATGTTTTCAGGTATTTCTAAATGAAAATGATCAGGAGACGTTAACATTTTGGTTATGACCATCCAGTTTGCTTTTCGTGGGTGAATGTTGAAGTAAACAAAATTTCTTAAATATTTCCAAATTTAATATTGGTGCTAACGGTGTCAGGAGGATCGGATCACTTCCAGCAAACTAGACTGTGCCGTCCAGTGCACAGATTGATCAAAAGTGATCATAAACTGATAAGTTCATGCACAAAATGCATTTGTGCAGTCTCCGTTCATATAGCTATGTGATAATATGTGCAGTTTCGCGATTCCGTTTTAGTTATAAAGCGAAGACAAGATTTGGCACAATTGGCTTATACACCAGAAGAATCAAGTTTAAACAGTGATCAGCATTCGGTGATCACTGATCATTCTTGATCAGTGATCAGCCAACGGTGATCACTGATCAGTACCTAGGGAAATCATCGATTCTAGAACTGCAAAGAGAACTCACATTATCGCTTCGGATTGATGAAATCGAGGTTATGAGCACCGTAATCAGCAGCACTAGCATTACTCAGTGAATTCTTTAACGATAACTAAACGCAAAACGTCAATTAAGAGAAATGTCTTAGGTGAAATTTATGCCCAAAGGGCATTATGGGATTAATTGTGCAACCATCGGAGGTGTTCACCAAAAGACCACTTATGGAACACTGCCGGATTAGTGTGGCGTTAGAACGAATACGATGACGAATCGTTGCTGTTCACTACAATCTAAATTTTCATTTTTCGTATTTCATGCGTAATCAACCATTTGCTTGCGTATATTGAAGTTAAAGAGATTAACTGACGACTGCTCTAATAAGCTTGAAGGTCATTGATTCTGCTGGCTCTGTTGGCATTTCAAACTGATCAAATTCATTGAATCAAATAACAAACGATAACTCTCAGCAGTTTTATGATCTGAAAATGGAGTGAGTTCATGTTTACACGACATTTGTGCATGCGATGGAACTGTTGCGAGTTGTGTAAGCGGAAAGCGGTAATTGTTGCGAGGCAAAATTTTGTTCGGTCAAGTTTTATTGAAAAGAGATCCACATAATGAATAACCACTAGCGTTAAAACAATAAATATACAACAATAATTCGCACACATTACACATATTTCCACATGAAACATCGCACTGTACAATAATATTATTTATAGCTATTTAACACACATTGAATAAAATGAATTCTTTTGTACAGAAACTGTTTCGGCAAAATAATTATATATGAATAAACATATTAGTGCTGAACGTCACTCGAGCTTAACAAGTCAATGAGAACAAGCTTAACAATACATTCACAAGCATTATTCGATTAAAACCCGTAAAAATTACCACTGAATTTTCTTTTAGTGGAACATATTAAACGACTATTTTCGGTTGGTCATAACTCAAATCTAGACAAATTTAATTATAAATTTCAGTGAAAAACAGAAATTTTTTAATGTAGAAAATGCAATTCTATGTTGTAATGACTAAAACGGACAAAATGCTGTTATACTGCTCTTCACATTGTCTAGATTCGATATCTCATAGTTTATGAAGATACAAGGAATGGGAAAGAACATCATGAATTTGGTTGGAAGAAGAGACCGTCCCTTGATTTGACGAGGAAATGTGGGGGAAAATTCGTCTCATACGTGGAATAATTAGCACAAAATAAGCAGCTATTGAAAGGTCTGATGATATTGGCATTACGAAGGCAACTGCTTGGATTCAGCAATATCAGTTGCTTGTTCAGTTTTGTTTTTGTGGTCGGTGGTGCCGCTTCAATGGTTTGTTCATCCAGTTCACATTTCGAGTCTAGATCGGCAATCTTGCAGTTTATCTGATCACGAAGTACCACTACTGGTAGACTGTCTGGATACAAGCTCCCAAGTGTCGCGATCGAATGAACTGAATTCCGAGACAAATCGTCGACGTTTGCCGGCGATGAAATGCCACTTCGAGTCGGACGATAGCTGTCAATCTCAACTGAGAGCAACTGAAATTCAGTTTGTGTTCAATCATTTCCCTGCTAATTTGCTTTATTCTTTGAGCTGCGTGGGATAGAAAACGGAAAATTTTCGGATTGTAATGAAATTTCAATTAGGAATAGATGAAATCAGCGAGAAAGAAATTGAGTTTTAGTAAGACGAATTCAAATGGCCTCTTCTACCCGATTATGAAAAATGATTAACATCAGTGAAGTATAAAATCGATTTCAAAGCCCTGGATGGTGAAACTTTCAGAGAAAATAGTCATTTCAGGAGTCTTGGAACGTTTTCACATTAAAAAAAAGAACAAGGTTATCAGAAGTTATCAAAATTTCAGTGGCTTTTTGTTTAAGTCGCCATATAGCCCGGACAACCTGACAAATTTTTTTCAAATCCATTGAAGATTCAACATTCATTCATGCCGATGCTTGGTCATGTCCACTGCTCATTATCTGATTTATTTCGAAAGCAATGAACCGTTTTTGAAAATAAATGCCCATTGGACCTGTGCATATGATCGTACAGCATTATGATTAAAGTGGAATGTGAAGCTGACCCTTCGTTCATTTGCTTTCCTGATATGATATTGCCTTCTTTTCACCCACTTCATGATGTACTCATCGGAATCGTGTCCTTCGATTGGAATCCGCCGCCGTTGTGCTTCGCGTTCAAACGAAGCCGTCGTCAGTTGATCGCATTGTTTGAAAACGAGTTCACTTGATCGATGCGCATTTGAAGACGTTGACGGTTCGTTACCGAAATAACGCTGAAATATAACCAATTGTTCAAATGGGAATTATCTCATTGCCGCGACTCAAGTCAAAGATCTGAATTCAGAAAGAAAAAAGCAGATCTTCCCTATTCAGAAAAGACTCGATAGACCATATGACTTTGATGAGAGGTAATCTAATTGTACTGTTTCAACCTTCTTAGTTGTTAGTAACTGTGGAGAATCTGCCCGCTTCAATCGCACTCAAAACTGAACGGAAGGAAATATATCAGGGAATGGGTATACAAACGACCGAATCAACGCCATAGAATACCTCAACAAATTGACAAACTCCATCAGCGGTGATATTCGCGCACTTCTCCAGTTTCACTTTACGCATTGTACTCGGTAATCGAGCCAGCGTAACGTCGCTGATTTGCAGATATTGATCACGCAACGGAACGGAGAAGTGAAAATCAATTGATTGAATCATCAACACATAGAGTCCCGAATAGGTGGCCGTCGAAAATAGTTCATCACACAATAAGGAACTGTGCACACCGGCTAAATTCTGAAATTTTCGGCACATTACCCTTTGAAATCGTTAATTGGATAATGTTTAGTGATAACCAGGAGAAGCACTATCAAAATATCTCTTCAGCGAGAATGGAACTCTAATTGCCATGTTGAATGGAATTATAAGGAGATATTGAATCCTACAATGTGAGGCTTCAAGCGCAACTTATCCTCCTGAGCATTAAATGCGAAATGTTTGAGAACCATAATCAAAGAGACTGAAGAAACTTGATGATTTCCATTTAGTAAATTAGATCGCCCCTTTGAAAATTACTTATTGAGTCGTCGAAAAGAAATCGCCTTTTGCTGATAAAATCGATTGATTCATCAACTTGCAATCAGGTTCATTACGGAGAAGAGTTTTGAAGAAACGAATCAAGGACATTGAATCAGTGAAACGATACCATAAAGGAGAGCACGATAAGATGCGAACCGCATAGCTTCATCAACCTCAACATATCCGAGCCAGTCAAATCGGCCACATAGCAATCGCACACTCGCAACGTTTTCGGTTCCAACGCTCGACAACTGCTTAGCATATCACAGAAGAAATTCACTGATTGTGAGCAAAGTGGCACATTGGAGAATTGCAGACCGAGAATACGAAAACGACGGAAACAAAACCTGAAATCGAAATGTTGAGGAATCAGTTCAGATCAACTTTTGAACTCGACTTGTTTTCAGAACAGTTGCTGAGACTACTCATAAGTGTCGTATTGAATGTAAGATGAACAATTTCAAATTCTCCATCCAGTCAAGAGCTCCTTGCCAACTGACAACAAAACTTCAACCACTACTGAGATTGGTTCGGGAACGATCGGGAGGCTTCCAAAAACTAGGCGCTGAGAAACAATGATACCATTTCAATCATTATGTCCTGACTTTATGATTCATTATTGCCCATGTTATCATTGTCTCTCACTATTCTTCAAATAACTCTCCCCGAATGTACCCAAAAGAGTCAATCGCATTTTCATCATTAAAACTATCTCTGTGATGTACTGGATTTGTACAAGGTCTGTTTACAAAACGGCAAAAATGGTCATTGTATATACTCGTGGCATTCGTGTCGAGTGTGCCTTAACTGAACGTTAATCATTCAAGTAAACATCGGGCGTTCATTTTACCATTCATTCTGAACAATTAATCCGACATTTGTTGACAGAGACTCTGAACGCATCATTTAGCAGGACTTATACAAATACAATGTGCAATTATGGAATTTAGTCTCTGCGATTGAGTGCGCACTCTAAAACTGATATTCCTTTAATGTACAAAAGGAAAGCGACAAATGAAACTGTGTTAAACAAGAGCCATAATTGTAGTGAAGATTGTTTTGAGATGCACTGCGCGGATTAGGTTTGGGAATTGTTTCAGTGCAGTGAACTTTTCAAAGTATTAAACCTCGGTCTATTTCATTAGCATTAAGCGTTTCTAAGCAATTACTGAACGAATCATTTTGGAAATCAAGCAGCTCTGATCGCTATTAAATAGCACTCAGCTTATGAGAACATCAAAGCAGCAGCGAATGCGCACTGGATATGTGATCGACCTCTCTCTTCCTTGACAACCATCCCACATGATCATGAAGCTTCAAATATCAGGGAAAAAGCAG